GCGCAGGTTAACAGAGGCCGAGTTTGAAAATGTGCGACCGCTGCTAATATCTGGTACTGCTTCATTCCACATTAAGAATTATGCTTACCATTCTTATGGGAAACTACTTACTGATCAAGATATCTATAATATGCGGTACAAAGTGTTCTCACAGGCGAACATTCCTGGTAAGCCATTTGCCAATTTATAATGTAAACGATAGGTGATTACGGGAAATTGAAAGCGCACATAACATCTTTGGGTGGGCGATGCGAATACGAATTAGACGATGAGAACCGTCTATCGTACTTTTTCTTCAGCACTGGTGATCAAAAGATTTTCGCAGACCGTTTCGGTGATGTTATTGGTTTGGACGGAACATACAAGACGAATAACGAGAATATCTATTTATATCAGGTCGTAGCCCTTGGTATGAATTTGAAGGCGATACCCGTTTGTATTGCATTTATAAGTCGCGAAACATCGACTTTGATTTCTCGATTCCTGTCGTTCTTCCAACGGTTAACCAACAGTCGACAGGTGGTAGGCATTGTGACAGATGATTCACCTGCAATAGCTGCTGCCATCATGCAGGTGTATCCCAATGCTCACCATATCTTGTGTCGCGTCCACCTTGTTCGCAATGTTATAAAGAGGGTAAGTGTTCCGTTCATTAACATTAACCCAGTAACCGTAATTGTAGAGGGTACGATCAGAAGTGATACAACTATTTTTTCGCCTGATGTTTACTCAAACGGTTGAAAGGTAAATCAAAAGCAACATAACAATATTTTGTAGTTTTAACACTGTATTATCCTTGATCGAAATATCGGACGGAACGTTTGCGCGATATGTCAGAGACCACTTATTAGCGAGAAAACACAAATGGTCTACAACAGGGACTTACAATGTACACCGTGATTCCATGCGCTGCTCCTGTACATTTTCCATTGAAAACGGTTTGCCATGTTTCATAGATTCTGTGCTTATGACCCATCACCGAACGTACGAGCAGTACACTGTCCGATGTGTGGCGCCATTACCAACTAATAGTTTGGACGTCCCACCGCGAGAACGATTAAAGGCCCTTTTCAGGGCCACCCACAAATTTATTTAAAGGCATTTTTCCCAATATTGTTTTTGTCGTTGGCAAAGGTCAAATGATTAAGCACTTTTTAATGTCGAATGCATTTCGATATACCTTAGATATTAATAATCGATAAGCGATTATCGCTCATGTATTCGTAAACTTGTTTCCAATGTGTAATACATATAAAGGTTAAGAAAGCAGACAACATTTAGTCATTTTATGAACACTTATCTAATAATTTTAGAAGTAAAGTAATGTGATTACCGTTCATGTCTTAGTAACATATTTGTAAACTATCTATTACTAGTACATTTTAATAGGAATATTTTAAAATAGTGAAAATCGTTATTTTGTCGTTAGGTGAATAAGTTTATTAGTGAATATAATAAGATAGTTACAAAGATGAATGTGATTAATATAAAAAGTGTTAAAATAAATGAGAATATTAACCGTTTCATGAATACAAAATGCAAGAATTTCATATTCCAGTTTTATTTTAATAGTACCTGAAACCAGAACTAAGCGTACGTATGAATTACGTCCGATCGTCAACTAAGCCTTCATTGTTATTCATAACCACTGATTATATCAACGTATTCATTTGCACACCCATATAACTATTAATTACTGGTACAATCACACTATACAGTTATAAGTCCATAATTTCCATATTTTATAAAGGCCAAAAATATGTCATGGCATTAATGAATTTGACAATGTACTGTATTAATAATGGTGAACGTTTACATCTGTTACGACATATATATATATATATAAATTACAAATTGTAACATTTGCAAATTAGAAAGGTCATTCAATAAAGGTCTGGATTATTTGCAGTACAGTGTTGTAACATTTGCAAATTAGAAAGGTCATTCAATAAAGGTCTGGATTATTTGCAGTACAGTGTTCAGTCACAATAAGTGGAAGAGCATTATAGGAAAATTTAAAATGCAAAGAATTTTGTGTCAATGAAATGCACAGTAGGAGAATTGAATCTTGTCAATTGACATAATAATAATAATAATAATAATAATAATAATAATAATAACAATAATAATAATAATAATAATAATAACAATAATAATAATAATAATAACAATAATAATAATAATAATAATAATAACAATAACAATAACAATAATAATAATAATAATAATAATAATAATAATAATAATAATAATAATAATAATAATAATAATAATAATAATAATAATAAGGAAAATACATAATAATAACATTGTAAATGTTCATTGATACAGTTGACCTTATTCATATTTATACATTTAATGTCGATAGGTATTTGTTGAGTCAGTCAGACGACGTAGGCTTGTTCATTCACACTTGATGAAAATGATATTTCAAATGCTTGTCAAAAATGGTTACATTCATAATGTCTAGATAATTCAGGTTTCATATTACGGCGGTTAACAATATTCACACATGGCTGATTAAACACACACTAGTTTTTATTACGACCAAAAAATTAATTTTAAAATACAGAACTACAAATAATTTACAAGTGAACACAATAAACCGTTTCAATGGACTTTTACAAATTAACCACATTTAAATCTAACGTTGTCTAATTCTCATTATGAATGAACATTTACAAAATAATCGTTTACTAAATATTAAGTGTCTATTTCGGTTAAATTTATTACTACATTCATATACTGTCAAAGTCAGTTCATTAAATCATGGTCTATGATTGCTTCACCTGAATTATACATATTTCAACCAGTAAGTTGCCATAATGATTTATTGATATGTTGATTTCTTTTTCCCATTAACACACCGTGTGTTACAAAAAAACCTATGCACACACTTTGGTGATAATTTGTTTATTAATTTGGTATTAAATATTTGACTACCGACCTCATTCAGTAATCACTATGATCAAATATTCAAACCGGTTTACAGATGCTTTTTCCCAAAAACTTTTTTTTACTGAGATACATATAATTATTCGTGTTCCGATAACTAACGACTTCAATTCAAGGTAAAGTAGATCGGAAAACAAAAATTTATCCCAATACACATTCACTAACAGTAGGATTGCACTTAAGTTAGTGTTTTTTTCTTAAAATGTCTAAATTTCTTACAAGACTTACATTACACAAAAAGATTTATTCATTATCGTTAAATTTCAAATGTAAAAATCAAAATTCTGACATCCAATCACAGCTTTAGATACGATTTCACTTTCAACTAATCAGATTACAAAGATGAACAGTTTACGACCAATTACAAAATTATTAAAGGTGACAAAATGTTTATTCATTATCACTTGAGCACACACCTGCAAAACAAGTACACCAATCACCGATCGGTAAATTTTTCTTTGACACCATACATTTTTTTAGAAATGGGGGGTAGGGAATCTTAATTGCCGTGGGCAAAATGTCAACCCTATCCTAGTATCCAAAGGATGATAAGGGTTTGACTGACCAAGCTACTTTCATCATATTCAAAATGCAGCTAGTTGGAGAGCAGTCAAACATCAAAAAATGTCAGTCCTGTGTATCATGATAATTTTCGGTCCTAACAGTCCATCTATATAGAATAACAACAGGCACCAATGAACTAGAACATCGACCAAAAGTTCCCATCCTAGTTTTAAGCTCAACGACAGATCTACAGCACCAAAATTACGATAAATGGCTATTGAGTCTCAGAAAAATAACACAGGTTTTCTACTAAGATAAGTCAAGTAAAGAAACACACTTAGATTTTTCAAGACGGTTTCTGAAAGGGAATGGGTCGATAGTATAGCATTCAATGATTTTTACTAGTGATTTGGCATAAAGTGCTAACATTTAAAACGAGAATATTTGATTCGGAATGGGGTTAAATGAGACTGGAGATGTCATTTTTTCAGCTTCAGAAGTTGGAAAATGTTGTATATAACTGAGAAGTACAAATTAGTGAAGTGTTGAGCAGAAATAGAAAACACGGAGTTCACCTACTCCTGTGGAGCGAGATATGTTGACCGTAGCCAGCGTCTGCCTTTAGTTCAAATATGAGAACATATTTCAAGTTGGTTATAACAAGGGAAGAAGGAAAGCAATAGAGATCTATCCTTGAACACTGGAGTAGCTGTGATCCCTCGAAAAACTCACATGTTGATTTTAAGGTTGCTTGTAAGATCTATCTGAATCTACCGAAAAATTCTTCGATTCTAACTCCCTAAAAAGCAGAGGCCTTAGCTATCCATGAGGTGAAACCTGGACTTTATATACGAAGAAGGCATTCCTTATCTTCATATTTATCATGAACTAAACCTATTGCTATTTTACTATTATTTAATAAATTTCATATTTGGAAATATTCCTCTTTCTATATTTATCTTTTGTGTTACGGGTATGCCGCAACCGAAACGATAGTCACAACTATTATGTTTCTCACAAACTCAGTTCTCTCGTTTAACTGACTTCAATCCACTGGTATATTGTATCAACCGTGAAATCGCGATATGATAGCGAGGAACGTAACCAAACAAGTATTAACTATTTGTATAACGGTTACTGTGGTGTATAGATTCTAAAGCCCACTACAAACCAGGAGACCCATAGTGATTATTAGTTCATTTCCAGCTAATCGTTTCATGTTATAAACAAAAATCTTGAATATTGTGTGGTCGAGTGAGATTATTTCGAGTATACTGACTTGTAATAACTACGAACCCCCTAAAATACGAGATAAAAAGTCGAGTCGATGTTTCAAAGCAAAATATTAAGAACGAATACTTGAAAACTTCGTTGAACGAAAAGCAGAAGGAAAAAACCGCATCATTTAGCTAAAAACATGTAGGCTAACTATAATTCATTGGATTTTACATAAATACCCAGTCTCATAACAAACGACAACACTCAAGTCACAAAAATAATACAGCCTAATCGATAAAGTAAATAAAATTATAAAACAATACCTGGTAGAGTCATTAATTAAAGACTGCAATTCATCGAGTTTTAGTCCACCAATAGGAATCCTGTCAATACACGTTACAAGATCCCCAACTTTTAATCCAGCTGATAATATTGAATTCGATGGAGAGACTGAAATTACACGACTGTATTGGGAAACGATATCTGGGGGGAAATAGAGTAAAAAGACGTCATATAAATATGGAATTAAAGGTTTTCGTCAAGGTAAGCCGTGAAACTTTCAATACATAGGGTTGGTGTTAGTAAATAGCATTTCACTTGATATCCCACGAGTCAGATCTACGCCAAAGAGACATGTGGATGTCGAAGTAACAAACTTATAACTATTTAGCGCATAACAAATGAGAAAAGAACAGTTTCAATAACATGACCTTGAAAAACCTGATATTTTATAAACTGGTAAAATCTGTTGATAGGAAGTCCTCTTACAGTCTTATGGACGGTTAGCTAACCTTACAAAGTAAATTCTCCGTGAGGTCCCAAAAAGAGTGCGAAGTAGTGACTACTGATAATGTTGAAGATATCCTAATTCAGAACACATACAGTAGGCCATGGAAAGGCTCTCCGAAACAAAATGTACTTAATTCAGCCAAGAAAACTGGTTATGATGACTAATCAGTAACGTGAGATGTTTGAAATCGGTCGGTTTTCTAAACCCTGTTAGTTTGAGATGTTATTGAGATCGCTTACTATCCAACTCGTTTCTCTTGTGAAATAGAAGGCAGTTGATGAGACTATCTAGTGAGATCAACTTTGAGCTATGATCACATTATATTACACCGGAATGCTACATTTACTTCCTAAGGGAATAGACCATTTCCAAAAATGAATAAGTACGACGAATGACAACGTAAGTGAAGTGTGGACCTTGGTTTCACTAAAGGTCGAGGCTGAATATATCCCAAACTAATTTACTAACGCTTACATAAATATAGATTTCCAATATTAACATATATGAAATAAGCTGAAAAAATATCACGATTTTGGGAAGCGAAGTCGCCCTGACAACTTTATGAGTCGGATAAATTATTTATTTTACATTCAGATAAATCCTAACTATACGCGCTTACTGAAGAAAGATAACGATCACAGTTGCTTATTTGACAAACAGCACCCATGAATCAGCCAAATACCACTGCTTTATAAACATGTTTCATGTTTGCGAATACAACTTACAGGACTGATTAACCTTGGGAATACCCCTAACAAGAGCGACTTAAATATAACGGAAGTTTATGACTCCCGAATAAAAGTCAACCAAGTCAACAAACGGCAACGTACACTAAGCGCAATGTTTTGCAGAATCAAATCATTTCAACCACCTACCACATCTCTACTATTAATCATTTTAATCTGTGCTGATTGTGAGGTAACGACATAGTTCTGAAGAAAGTCCTTATTGACATCGAATCAGAACCTCACAAATCAAACAAAACTTACTCACCAAACACTTTCACATGCTTGAAAAACGTACCTGGTTTGTCAAGAACAAACTCTCCATCGCCAACAACTACCTTTAAAGCCGATTCTCCCATACTCCAAATGAGAAATAATTAGAATGATCTACACCATTTCGGTAAAGAACTTGACATGTGAATCATCATTCAAATCTTTATGGTGAAATTCCCTGAATATCATGATCTTACTACGTTTTTAATAAAGACGTGACAAGAAGTATCCACACATACATTTTAGTCCCATTTGTTAGGTTGGCGAACCATTTGCGACCACAGCATCATATATTGAGAAATATTGTTTCAGAGGTGTGAAATTATTTGTAAAACTATATCTAAAATATGTGATTTGAAAGGCTTATATGTTAGGCATTCAGGTTCATAAAGAAGTCATGAATAATAATCCGAACTGATAATCGAAACACCACCAAAAAACAGACTCGAATCGTGCGCCCTCCCATAATGCAGATTTTGTGCGGTGAAACTAATAAAAAAATAGAGCCTTAATCTCTAAACTTTGTTGGGTATAATTAAAGGACTTCTAATTCACGTAGATATTTTTTGTATTGTTGGCAAAAAATTCGTAGTTCTCTGAAACTTGGTGATTCCATATGACTGAATTATTAGCGGCAAATAAATCCACAAAATATATAGTTCTGTAAGTTTTCAACATCTATCCCGACCTCATTAGTTTTATTGGATACACTTAAGCTGAAGGCACTCTGTCACGCATCCGCACCAGGTCATTTAGTGGCCGACTTGGACCTAACGCTTCTAGATGTATCGACAGCTTTCCAAATATATCCTTATAAGGATAAACCCCTTTATTTCTGACCTAATTTGACTGAGTTTGTATACTTCGATCAAAGTGTTAAGTTTAAAGACGTTGTCAAACTCGGAATACCTGTGGCATCTTTAAGTTCCTTAGGGTCAGATCATAGGTTGTAGGTGAAGGTTATTGGCTACAGAAAGTCATAACTGCCATTTTATCCGTTCGATGCATCTCAGCACCTTCGGAAGTAGATGTGAAGATTTATTCTGAAAGAAGACATCACCACCATATAAATTCAGATAATTCAGATGTTTATGGACAGAGAAGAGGAAACTTTTTGATGAACCACTGTGTTTGTTTGCAATGATTTACCGATCGATTCAGTTAGGAACTTATTAAAATGAAATAAATAGAAATAATAGAAATATCAGTAGAATAGTACGAAACGGCATCCAAACTCATGAGAATGTACCAAGTTTCTCCTTGGAGGAACCCGAGGATGTTACTTTTAACTATACTTTAAAATTCCTATACTTGATCACTTGTAAAGAGTAAGATGTGTGCCTTCAATTCAAGTGACTGTGCTTGACTTCTACTTTTCGGATATTTCCTTTGAGATTTGTATCAGAACTAAGCTTACGTGAGTGTTCTAGAGGATGCTTAGGGGGCAAATATAATTCTAACATTATTGAAACTTGTGTATTATTGCATTGTCGAAGAAACCCGAAATGGTTTCTTCGCAACACTTATGTACCCATAAGATTTTTTTAAATAATAATAATATCAACACTGCTGTTTGTGTCTATAACTTATTTTACCTAACAATAGTTCATTTTGGTATTCACTTGATATTTAACATACTAATAAAACACATCTTGAATTGTTCCACCGAAAAAAAACTTGAGGGTTGCTGACTATTGACGGCTATTTTCTTGGCTGCTCTGCTTCAATCTCCATTATTTTAGCATCACGTTTTAGATACCCAGCTGTGGAGCTCCCACCTAAACTTTGACTTAAAATGCACATCCATCAAGATCATAGTTCGTCCTAAACATTGTGATCCGGTCGGATACCCTTTAATAATTGTTAAATTGTCGTATAGTTGTAAAATAAACCTACTTATTTCATACAACCAAATTCCTTGGTAAATTTAAACAAAGTAAGAATAACCAGGTTTGCAAAACAAAATGAGTTCATTCTATTCCACAGTTTCTGATAAGCTCCACACAAGCTAAAACTACAATTGCACACCGGATTTAAGTATTTTTATTCATACACTTTGTACCCCTATTCTTCCGATTATCATGGTTTTGGTCACGTTTAAAAAATTTACATAAAATTCATAAACCAAATTATGCTAAACATTTGTTGGTAAGTTTATTTATATTAGTAATTATAATTTTAGGTTGTATGCAGCTGATGGGGAATCGCAAGATTGGATGAATTCATTTTATTCTTCAAACCCTGTAGTTCTTGTTGTTTAATACCTAATTAATACCTAGTAGTTATATATATTGAGATGAAATCATGCAAATACACGCTAACTCATCTGAAAAAAAGTAATCCTGGGTTTAAAAACTTTGAGTAGATTAACTTGATGGTGATAATTAAAAGCCAACATGATATTTTATATCATTATTAGAAAGGATTCCTGTGGCCTTGTTTTTTGTACATTTGGTTGAATTTCAAGTAGTGTTTAGTAGTAGGTGTATATCCTGTGAAGATTACCTCAATAAAGCCATTTTACAACTTCTTATCTAATGAACAGATTGTAGCCAGCAGCGAAAACCTTAACTTATGTCAAGTTTTTATTTATGACTCATCAGCGAAATGTAGGTGCACATCTTAACTATAAATTAGTACCTCTCTCCTCAACCCACCTGCATGATGTTCTCAGAGTCACTTAATCGAAGTGGCCGTTTATCTATGGAATGACAATAAACTTAATTCAAAATTATATAAACATAACTAACAGGTTCCTACCAAAACGAAATGCTCACCCCGGATCCCGATACCAGCCACAATCCACCTCTATATTGTTTCTAGCTCTTAAGTAAGTTGATCCTTAAGGTGAATGGTGGTTGCGACTTGCTTACACGTAGTGTATCTTAGAAAAAACAGAATACTAGAAGGTAAGTGACTCAAATACATCGTTTACATAAATCTCAGTAACAGGACAGCGACTCTAACTCACTGTAATTCTTACGATATCATGAAACCTAAATTACAACTTAAAGTGCATGGTTTCGGTGATCTAATGTTACTAAGATATACTTGCAATTTAATCCATTTCTATGGGATCTTTTCATTATTTTTCGTGTGAATGTATCAGTAAGGTTCTTTTTATTACCTTTTGTGAGACAGTAACACTGTTTATCAGAAAATAGGTGATTTGTGTTGATGTTTACTGTCTACTGAAGTTTTAACGGAGACTTCCTAGCTGACCGCGATAGTATAGAGCCCCAATTTTGAAATGATAATTTCTGTCACTGTTTTGAACATAAATTATTTTTCCTCCTCTCCGTTTTGTACGTATGTGTCATTAAATTTACACTATCTAATATGAAGTTCAACAGGTTTTGCACATCTTCATGCCTATATGTATAATCTTTTAAAAACAGTGCCTCATCTTTTTTGTCCTTAGTCATAATTTCATCTGACCTCAAGAACGTGCGCGAACTCAGACGTACTAACAAATACTATCTAACAAGGTGGCCTAATTTTAATTTTTAATTTTGTATAGTTCGGCAATTTCTGTGTCATATTTTGTTCTGTTCAGTTTATTTTTTCGCAAACATACAATTTTATAAACCTTTAGTTTCAGGGAGGAGTCAGTATAGGACCTCTTCTACACCTCACTTTGGTTACGTTTTACTTTGCCAAACCCTTCAATTAACTTATTTTGCAGACAGCGTCATTCGAGTGGTAACAAGTTGTATATCTTGATAATATTATGGCTGTATGATGATATAATCTTGATAACATGTGACAGCCTACGCATATATCTTTCTTCCTAGCTTAAAACTTGGTTACTTTGATCTCTCAATAAATCATTTGCTTCCACACATATGTATATGCTTGAATCTCACTAACTGATTCGACTCTTCATTCTATTCTCAATTCGACTCTTAATTCTCTTTTGTATTCTCTACTGTATTTGCTCGTCTGGGCGCATTATCTCTTCTGTTCGAATTTTCTTGGTGGACTTATGGCTTCGTAATCGGTGCTAGTCAATAATGGACTGTGGTCGGTGCTTCGAGTTGCCCTTTGAATTCATACACTGTTGAGAGTGATAAAATAACAGTTATCAGGGCGATTGATGTATAGAGCCTTAGGATAATTTCGAATCTAATCCACTACACCTTCATTTGTAAGTTTACAAAATATTCTGATTTGTGCGGGATCAATATCACTGATTATATCTTCAACTCTGGTCTTCTGATTTTCATTATCTGTAACATAATTTGTCAGTGATAGAGGTTACATTGTCCATTTGTTAGAAATTTTTATTGTTCTCGAGAACATTGGTCTTTCATCTTCCAACTGACTTAACAAGTCAATTTATGCGTGATTCTTGAATTTTTATATTACTTTTGCCTTGTGGTTGGTTGCTATCCTTTGAAGTAAACCAGACTTACACATCTCCGTTTTTAAGTACTTCATGACTTCATAGATCTAGCCAAAAACTATAAATGAATTTTAGGTTCGCACATTAATCTGTATTTTGTCTTGATTCGCACCACTTCATTACGAGGTTACTGTTCTTTCGACAATCTAAATCGACAGGTGTCTGACTTTCGACTCCAAGTCTAAATACAAAATTAGTTCCACGTTCTAGGGGTTCTGAGAGTTGTATTATCATAATCATAGTCAAAGAAGATTGAAAACCCCTGATAAATGGCTACAAATTTGCTGAAGATAGGGAAGCATATCAAAAAGCAAGAGAAAAGTTCAATAAAATATAGTAGTGTCTAATAAGACGTGTTGAATAGATAAATCTATCACACTTGTGATGTTAGGATAACAGTTTGCATTTCGGCGTTATAGGCACCAAAATTGAATGGTCTTTTAATTACTAGTGTTTAATTCATTCTGTTGTGTCTGCTTGCGTTATTTAAACAAGGTCAAAAATACGTCAAAATTGGCATCTACTACCGCTAATCAACACTTTCGTGTTATTATTAGATATCTTGCTGTACGAATTGTGCTACGAACATTGTTGATCCGCCTTGTTTTCAAGACGTCAAGATAACTTATATAAAGAGCTGTCTTATGAGATTTAGCACAATCCTCGATTATTTTAATAGACTAAGGGGCATCATTTCGGGTTCCATAGATCAATTACGTTGCACTGGAAAATAATTGGCTACTCAGAGAAGCAGGAAATTTTTATTTTCTTAGAATTCAGTCTACAGTATGTCAGTAACTCTAAGTAGTCGCTCTTAAGCGGCGAAATTGTATGAACCACCTGCAGTTGATTAGAGAGTAAAAATTATTTGGAATAGATTTCATAGAATGGCTGTTGTTTAAAAACTATATTCGTTCTTGACGATACCAATGCTAATTAGCTATCCTCACCACATAGAGTTCACGTAACCTTAATAATCATGTGTAAAGGTATTAAGACACAAAGCACACTGACAGAATGGGTTTCATAATATCAAATAACGGGTCGACCAGTTGTCA